GCCCCCCTCCCCTGCCAGATCCTCACACAGTAACGTGTACACACCACACCCAGCAGGTGGCAGCCCAGTACAAGCAGAGAACAGGAAGACTCTGTGGACAGTGAGTACACCTGCATGTGTGTGTCCTGAGTGTGTGTCTGAGTGTGTATGTGTGTATTTGTGCGTGTATGTGTGTGTGTATGGGTGTGTGTTGGTGAACCAGTAGACTGGAATACCAGGGTACAAAGTACTGAAGTAGTACTTACTGGAGATACTTGCACATTTAAGACAGTCTGTATATACGTACTTCAGGAGATAAAAACTCTACTCATGTCCATGGTTACAATGACAATAATAGTACTGAACGTCCGTCCCCCTGCTGGGAGGTTTAGAAACTGCATTACTCTGAAGGGAGCGTGTCCGTGCCCTGTGATGCCCAAATATGTCCCGCCGTTGGCGGCCGCGCTGCTGTGAGGAATCGGCTCGTGTTCATATATGTGTGTGTGTGTGTGCGTGTGTGTGTGTCTCAGCTTCGTTGTTCCGTCAGTGAGTGTTTGACTCCAGTCAGAGTTTTCGTGGATTGTTGGGAATGGTTCACTCAGAGGCGAGTCTGGGCCTCGGGGACGTAGATTTCAATGCTGTCAGCGCTTTCTGTGGCCGAGTTCTGCCGAACCGACGCCGCCTTCTTTGCTGCCATCAGCCGTTTCCGAGCTTCCTGTCGCTGCTTGTCCACGGCCGAGTCCACGCTCCTGTCCTTCCCCGCTGACAGTTTGGGTTTGGACTGCTTCTTTGGCACGGATGATGGAGTATGTTTGATGTCGTCCTGAACAAAAAAAAAAACAACAAAGAAGAGTTGGTGTAAACAACAATGGTTGATAAAAAAATATCGATACACTGAAATATTGCGATATTTTGTTTAAATGACATCGTATCGATTTTCTTAATCACTGTATGAATTTGGAACGAGGTGTGAAAAAGGCCGATGTCAATCCATACATTACAATGAATCGACTGTAATTTCTATTGACGCCACTAGATGGCGGCAGACATCACATGTGCCAAATGTATCTTTGAAAGTTTAGGTTTATTCTTGTACATTTTATTTATATTAATCCACCCATTATTCTACATCCACCCAACACTGAACCCACCTTTGCCCCCCTCTCTGCCCCCCTCTGATTTAGACTCTAATGTCATTGGATGAGTTCTGTAAACGTCACCTTCTTTTCTGACTTCTCTGGGATCTGCCAGTTGTTGGCCTTCAGTTGGTAGAGCTCATCGAACTTCATACTTATGTCTTCTATTGAGAGCTGGAGCAGATCCCAGAACCCGGCCAGGTCCTGTGCTGTTGGCCGTGGGTTGGCGTCCAAGTTCTGGAGATACGGAGGAAAAACAAAAAACAAAAAAAAAAAAGGAACAGAACAAAGAGACGTTAGATAGAGAGATTTGACCAAAATTTAGAAGAAAGTTCAAGAATCCTATATTTGTAATTTTTTTTTTTGGTAAATTTAATTGAATAAAAAAATCCATTTAACACCTGTAATTTGCAGACATTGCAGGGAAAATGAAGCCACTCACCAAGTTTTCATTACACAACCCTCTGAACTGCTCAAACTTCTGTGACATGAGGAGCTGAGCGCTGCCCACTGCACTGCGGATCGTCCCCAAAACTGCAAAAAAAAAAAAAAAAAAAAAAAAAGAGAAGGTGATGAGTCGCGTCCTAAAGCAAAAACAGGGCTCACCAAATGGATTTTTCTTTGTTTCTGGACAGACATAAAATGTCTAAGAGCCTCACATAAAATGAAATAAAATAAAATAAAAATCACATTTTTGTCTAACAATATTATATGATGTTTATTTGGAATGTGAGTCTGATTGGACGATACTGGACTAGTACTACAGTATTACAGTGAGTACTGTAGTACGACCCTGGTTCATGCTTTTCCTGATGTAAAACAGAGTGAGCAGGATGTAAACGTTGTGAGTGCGTCGCTCACCCTCCTCTGACAGCTTGTTGTCTTTGGTCTCCTGCTCCATCTGTTGACACCAGCCCTCCATGCGGCCCGTTTCCGCCTGCAGCAGCTTCAGAAACCAGTTTCCGTCCCGGAGACAGGCCGGTGTGCCCGTGTGAGGGCCATCGCCGTGGGTGCTGCCGTTCCCCGTCTCCAGGCTGGGGTCCGGCGGCGGCAGCGAGGACGGATCCAGGGCCGGGTCCAGGGACTGAGGCGGTGACGTGGACGTCCTGGACGGGGCTGAGGTGTGTTTGAGAGAAAGCTGTTCCATGGCTTTGTCCTGTCCGTTGGACGCGGTGGAGTTGACCGTTTGGCTGTTGGTGCAGTTGACTGTTTTGTTGTCCACGTCCTGGAGCTCCTGAGGTTCACTCTCAGTGTTTTGTCTGGAGGCCATGCTGCTGTCCCGGCTGAGACTGAGGCAGAGACAGAGACATGAATAAACAACAGGTCCTGATCAATACGTAATGGAGTCGTGCAGCGTCAACATATTCTGCAGAAACTAAAAAAAGGCAGAAGAAGTGAAGAGCAGCAGCAGCAGCGGCAGCAGCAATGTCAGAAAGACAGAAGTGAAAGAAAAAAAAAAACGGAAACCAAGGACAGGACAGCAGGTGTTCAGGTCACAGATGACAAAAAGAAAGTAGAAACTGTCAAGTGAGTGAAACGAAGGACAAATAAAATGTCCAGCAGAGACTCCGATGGACAGTTCACGGTACTGCAGTTAAAGGAAGCGTAAAAGAACATCTGTTGGAGGATCTGCTGCTGTCGTTCTGCCAGAGTCACTGCTGCGGCAGAGGAAACCTGAACCGCACTCTGACCCAGATCAGTGCTCACTACATTAACTCATGCCATTATTTATTTGCAGTATCAATATACAAGTTTACTCCGTAGAGTGTAGTAATCTTCTGAAGAATACAGTATCTGGTGATTTTCCTCTGTCGTTGCTTTTTAAATCCAAATCTGCCTCGTGTTTCACTGAGGTCGTGATGTTTGTAGTTTGACGGTGTTGACGCAGACACACCTTCACAGCAGACGTGCTGCAGCAGGTACCAACCTGGGCTCCAGAATATTCAGAATATCAGGGCTTTACGCCTACTTTTGTCTTTGCTGATTCAACTGAATTTACACATTATTATTGAAGGCCGATAATTGAAGTTTTTTGGTCAGGATTATTTGTATTTTCGATTCAGATTTAAAATAAAAAATATTGATGTAAGTGAGTATAAGAGTTTTTCGTTCCTGTGAGAGCTGCAGCAGTCATAGCGTAGCGGTTAGCATGACTGACTTGCACAGAGAGGGCAGAGAGTCCTGGGTTCAATTTTCACCGCCATCTCCTGTCACCCATAGTTTGTGTCTGTGAATTTAGCTCCAGTGAGCAACAGATTTCTCAAAATATCAGCAGTAAAACTGCAGTAACGTGTATTTGAACCCCCTGAGAAACAGTCGGGTCCGAACAGTGAAAACAAACAGCCTCCAGACCGGAGCACACGGCCAGTGAACCTGAAACCATTAGCTTCAGCGTCCGGGCTAATGTATACTTAAAAGGCGGGCGTTCTACTTACGGCCTGCCGTTCTCCACTTGGACTCCAATTGACTGAAATTTTAAAGGAGCAGTCAGTGATGGTTTTTCCTCTCTGGAGGTCGGAAGAACGCAATCCACCTGAGAAGAACCATAAAAACGGTGATCCACCATTTAAAATTAAAAAAAAAAGAAAAAAAGACACAGACAGTTCACACACAACAAACAGACAAATCTCACCTGAATTCCGATGGAGGACAGTTTCCTCTTTGGTGCAGTAGGGGGCTGATCTAAGGTGACCCTGGGGATCACAATGTCATTTTGGGGCTGCGTCAACGTAGAAGTGCTAGCTGTGGTGACGGTAATAGTCGGGGGCAGGTCACGCGGAGCCGGAACAGGAGGTACGGCGCCTGCGGTGGTTGCGGCGGGAACAGCAACCGGTGGCGGCTGGGCGCCCTTGGCCAGGCTGCCTGTGCGGATGCTGCACAGACTGTCGGAGGAGTTGCTGCACCCCGATTGGCTGTTGGCCTCACTGCCGCGGTCCTGCTCGTCAAGGTACGTGTCTTGGGCCGATTCGGTGCTGCTCTGCAGCGTCACTGAGATGAGCGGCTTGGAAGTGGTGCGGGGCGGGACCGGGGGAGGAGCCCGTCTGAGGCTGCCTGTGGGTCACGGAAGTGACAAAGAAATTTCAGCATAAAATTTTTTTTTTGACACAAATCATTTTCCTATTTGCACCTGTTAGGTCTTCAAAGGTGTGACCTCTGCTGCCTGTACCTGGAGCTACTGTACCTACAGCTAACCTGCTTCTTGTCGTGTTTCCACTGACACCAGTCGGTCTCCAGGGACCAAAACAACTCTCCTCTGTGGTCAGAGTTATTTAAGGAACTAAAATGTCCTTCATCTGCCGCCGTGTTTACACACGTCCTAGAAATCTCCAGAAATCAATTCGATGTTACGTAACATTACCAGATGCACCAAATATTAACAGAAGGACCTGGAGGACAAAGAAAAACCCTCTGGAGAATAAATACATATCTACTGTCCATAAATCCATTTACTACTTCATTCTTCTCAGTGTTTTATTTATGAATAAAACTGAAGAAGAATCTTGGATCTTTTAGTGGAAGTGGAAGCCAACGTTTTTTGTACCAAAGGTCGGTATCAGCCGTTATGGATCAGTAACACTGTGTCGTCATTGACGGATCATTCAATTTTCAAAATAAAACATATTTTAGACTTTATTCTGTTCAAGTATCAGTGTCTGAATCTGAATGAACTGTTGTTTTAAATTCACAAAATCGTTGTCCTTTCGTTTTCTGGTCGTGTTTTTGAGGATCCCGGTTGGAGTTCCTGTCACCTGATCTGTCTTCAGCTCGTCTGTTCAGGTTTATTGAGGTTTACAGCTTCTTCTTCTGTTGCATTACCGTCAGTGACTCTTTTCAACAGAACAGACAAAAGCTCTTAAGAATGTACATGACTGCTGACGCGCTAACAAAAGACCTCACACTCTGACACAGATATCTGAGCCTCTGACCTTAAAAATCAGAACTAAATCATCAACCGGGTTCCTTCAGCTTCAGGTTGGAGACATCGTACATATATTAAGATTTTAAGGCCAGTCGGAGTGAAATTTAGGACCAACAATAAGTTCAACTTTGAGTCGATCAATCCAACTTTTGCTACATTTGCTAAACCCACCGTACTGGTGGCGTGTAGCTTCACGAAAGGCTTTAGATCTCAGGTAGGAATGTCCGATATCAACTTATATCTGATATCCGACATCCAATATGCCGATATTGTTCGAACACTTAATTCCCAATTCCGATTTAAACCGATACCGATATATGCAGCTGATTTGGCCCCAAACCTGAGGTGAACGTCTCAGGACCCTACAAGTGATTCCAGCATATTTGGTGAAACCATTATCCAGGGAAAAACTGATTCTTACAGATGTTACATAATATCAGCCGATAATAACAGTTGGCTGGTATTATGTCCCTAATCTTTGGATTTTTTAATGACCTTTTTCAAATAAAACATGACTAAATCCTCATTATTGTGTCCTGGTATTCTTTAGACTTTGGGACAACAGAGTTTTAGACATTTTTAATGCCATTCAAGGCCTTAAATTTAGCTCAAGAAATTCAATGCCTTTTCAGACCGACTCAGCATCCGTGGGAAGACTGCATTATGGACCAACTGAAAAGCACCGGTCCCTCCTTTCCAGTCATAGGGATTGTGGTGGATGATGCATAGTTACTCCAGTAAAACAGGGGAAAGCACAGAAACCCACAGGCTCTCTTCAAGAATCTACGGTGGTTGTGGGTGGAAAACTGCTTTTCAAACCCTGGTCTTACTGGCACACGAAAAAGAGAATCGCTAAACACACAATACTCGCGTTTGGTTAAGGTGTCTGCAAACGCAGCACATGTGTGTGTGTGTGTGTGTGTGTCGTTAACAGTAGCCGACAGAGCAGATCATTCAACAAGCGTTTTATTTTCTCTCCAGACGAGGTTCTAATCTCAACAGCAACTAAACACCGTATAATTGTGAGGGCGCAGCACGCCTGCCGTCAGACCGTGAGTCACGGCACCAGCCAAGCCGGGATTAAATCCCACCTCCACACACAAACAAGGCGGCGGAATCTGCGCCTCGCGGTTCACGGGTCGGTCTTGAGGCCCCGACTCGCCGTGGAAAACACATCCAGCCGACCAGAGAACGCTCAGCGTGAAAGAATGAGACAGTTTCCTGTGGCGCTAATTCCACAGATGCGTGACATTCCCAACGCTGATGTGTCTTATTACAGCCCACGTGTTAACACATCCACACCACTGCACACCCTGTCACCAGCACCGGGGTTAGAAAACCCATTCACACACACACACACACACACGCAGTGTTTAACAGCAGACACCAACCGTCGACCACACACACGTTGGCCCCACCACGGAACAACTAACGAGCTGGGGGACATTAATCATAATAAAGTGGCCTAATTGCAGTTTGTCAAATTTCGCAGCTTTATTGCGATACGTGTAGAACGAGCGTCCCGGCTCAGAGGGACGGTAAATCACACCGAGGATTTACCAGCTCACTGAAACACAGCCCAGTGTTTCTGCCAGGGAGTTTTTTTTAAGAAGCAAAGGCAGAGGCAGAGGCAGCCCCCCCCACCCCGTTCCTGCCTGTCACCTGTCTTATATGGTAATAAGATTTATTTTTACCTGGATATACACACACACAAACACACACAAAAAATACACATCAAACAAGTGCAGGGAGATTTAGTTCCAACTAAAATGTTCAGAATTCAGAGATAAATTCAGAATAAAAAACACGAGCTTTGGTTTAAATTCACAAATATGTTGGTAAATTTGGAGTCATTTAACTAAATCTATAAACTCAGATCTCTGTAGAACCCAGTGTTGTTAATGTAATCATCATGTGTCATTACATGACATCACGACTGTCTATATTTCTCTTACAAAAACGTGATTCTGTTTCAGTTCATTCATTCATTACCAAATGGAAGCCAACTTCACTGCAGAGAAAGTTGACTGATAAACACAGTCTGAGAGACTTTAAGATGATCGGGGGCCTGTCACAAATGGAGCAGCGGAAGTAGAAAACAACAAGCAAGAAAATGTCAATATAAAGCTAACGGCATGCTAGAGAAAAAGAGCTAAAACGAGGAGAAAAAAACAAAAAAAACGGCTCTTAAATCTGACATCTTAAATCACATGACAAGTTGAAGTGATGTAAACAACGGTAGTTCAATGCACATAATTGCTTAAGGTGCCGTAAGTACCGACATAAGACACATGACAGGATGGTGATGTAAATGCTAGCTAATCACCGGGGGTTTTTTTTTGCAACAATCAAGCCATTTATCGCAAAGTTAGGGCCAGAAAAAAAGGGTCGCGACTCACTTAATGTATCTCACACACTCAAAACACACCTACAAAACCATGCGTGGCGTGTCCTCAGCTCCAGCTTCACACCTTAACGCTGCTGTCCACACCACTATAATGACTACACGTGTACAAATGACCCCGGCTATGAAGACTATGTAGCCTCTGTGCCTGGATGTTACGAGGCTCCGTCAGCAGCTCTGTCTGTGGGGGATCAAATGACCACTAATGGACTCTCCGCAGCAGGCCGCCGCTGAAGTGGACATGACTATTTAAAGCACATTAACGATTAAAACTAGAAATTGTTGACAAGAGATTTTAGGACCTTTGTCTGTTCTTTTTCATCAACTTTTTTTTCCCCCTCAATCTATTCGATTTTAGTCTATGTTAACATTTAAAATGAAAGCGCACAAATAGCTCGTTCAGCATTTGTGGATCTGAAAGTATGTGGAAACCAAGACATGAGCCAAGTATCGTAAAAAGAAGAGAGAGGGTTATTAGCTCCAAAGTTAGCAATTGTAAAATAATTAGACCATCACAAATGGCCGAGCGAGAGTACTGCCAGACAAATTAAACACTTAAGCCGTAGTATAGAAATACTGTGTACTTATGTATGACAAATAAGTATATGTCAGTTGGGCGAATCAACCTCTGCAGATTTGCTCCGTCTTCCGACCTTCTACTTAGTTTCTAACTTTAACTTAAAACCTCTTCTACAGTATTTAATTTGTGCGTTTTCGCAGGTCAGTCAGTAACATCCTCGTTATGTAGCGGGACCTCATGGTGTTTAAACTCTAATGTGGTTGACTTTTAAAAACGATATTCTACTCTGTCCTGTTTAACCTGCAGGTGTTTTCGTCACTTCTCTGGGTTATTTACCTCACCCTTCCTTCTCCAAACACAGCCGACATCTCTAGGTCGACAGAGTTCTAGTTTGTCTTGGTTTGCAACCTTGCGTTCC